GACTGAGAATCGTGTCGCGGATACGACTACTACGACTCATACTAAAGTGTATGCTAGTATTGTTTCAGTGGTCCTAGTAGTACAGCTAGAGTGCGAATTCTATGGATCACAGCGCTGATACTAATGATTGTCAAACGTAGTCAAGCTTATGTACTCGCAGTGCTGTTTGTGATATCAAGAAACGAATACTACTACGACTAACAATGGTATCGTTCTAGTAAGAATAATGGTGATGATGGTATCTCTACTTCTACTGACAATATTGGTCATACTAAGAATGCCATTAGCGTAAGAGCCTATAAAGATTTTAATCCCAATCTGCCCACCGTGCTCCTTGTGCGCCCCCTTATGCCGCCCCCCAGTTCGGCGCACCCCTCACGCAGATCCTTGCCTTCGGAGTGCCAGGAATGGTATTCCGAGAGCTTCTGCAAAACGCAGGGCGCACCCCTCACGCAGATCTTTGCCCTCGGAGTGCCAGGAATGGTGTTCGCCCATGCATCGGCCTTCGCGCGCCGCGTCGCGGGGGAGCGCTCTCGCCAAGCAACGAACAATCCCGCGCGACTCGTGGCAAGCCAGGGTATGCATCGCCAAGGCGTCGGTAAGTTGCTGCGGGGAGCTACTCGTTTTTGTCGCTTCGCATACGCGCGTCGCATCGCCCTTGCATCGGCCTTCGCGCACCGCGCCGCATTGCTAAGGATGCGAACTGGGGATCCGTCTCCTTGAGGCAACGAGCTATCTCGCGCTCGTTGCGCAGCCACTCCATGCAATCTCACCGCCGCTGGGCGGCGTCCCTGCGACGCACAGGGACTCGCGTAAATCTACGTTGTTTTTCAAATCGCGTTGTCGCGCGCGCGTGCCGCATCGCCCTTGCAGCGGCTTCCCAGAAGACTTTGCGCGACCGTCGTCGTCGTCGTCGTCGTCGTCGTCGTCGTCGTCGTCGTCGTTCTAAGATCAATATCGTCGTCTTCGTCATCGGTATCGTCGTCGTCGTTTTGAGATCAATACGTCTTGGGTCATGGGTGGGTGGGACACGTCCAACAGGCTTCAAGTTTGGGATAGTGGACCCTAACCGCTAAACCCTAAACCCTAAACCCTGTCGGATCGATTCGGTTCGACCCCGACTCGGCTTGGGGTTGCCCCGCCTCCGCCGCGCGGCCAGGCGACCCCGTGGGTCGCCGTCGTGGCGACGGTCGACCGGCGAGCCCGCGCGCTGCGGCTGACGAGCACCCGGCCGATCGGGCCGAAGGACACCCCCCCGAAGCCCGAGGAGCGGAGTTCGGAGGAGGAGGAGGAGGAGGAGGAGGAGGAGGAGGAGGAGGGCGAGGAGGAGGAGGAGGAGGAGGAGGAGGAGGAGGGGGAGGGGGAGGGGGGAGGAGGAAGGAGGAGGACGAGCCCGCGCGCTGCGGCTGACCAGCACCAGGCCGATCGGGCCGAAGGCCCCCCCCTCGAGCCCGAGGAGCAGAGCTCGGAGGAGGGCGAGAAGAGGCGACAGCAGTTTCAAGTGGGGCCTGTCTCTCTACAGGGGGAAGATCCAAACATAGTCAACAAAATAGTTCGGGCAGTTTTTTTTTTTTTTTTTTTTTTTTTTTTTTTTTTTTTTTTTTTTTTTTTTTTTTTTTTTTTTTTTTTTTTTTTTTTTTTATACTATTTCTGCTCATTTTGGGCGGCATTTTTTGGTACGTTTTTCATTATTCGCCCAAAATCTCCCTGTAGGGGGACAGGCCCGACTTAGCAGCAGTTCTGGGCCTCCCAGACGGGGTCAGAGCACATGGGTCGGAGGACTGTGCCGCATCGCCGATGCATCGGGGATGGCGGCTCGATGTGGAACCCGATCTTCTCCACCCCGACGGAGCCGATGTGTCGCTGACGCAGCCGATGCCTCGCCGATGCATCGGCGATGCACGAGCGATGCGTCGCGATCCTCTGACCCCACCTGCTCGGACCCCATCAAGGAGGCCCGCAGTAGTCGTTCGGGGGAGGGGGGGGGTCCTCGGCGCCACGGCGGGACGCAGCTCGGAAAACCGGCGCAGACGGACCCCGAGAGGGGTCGGGAGACCTTTTTGGAGCTGGCTTTGTGTCACCTCGTCCTACCCCGAACAAAGCACAGCACGAGCAGTATCCGTTGGAGGCCCCCGCAGATTTCTCGCGTCGGCGCCGAACCCCCCCGCGCAGCGCAGATCGTTTGGGGGGGGGATCGAACAAATTTGCGCGGATCTTAGGAGTTTCGGTTAATGGTGTTTTTCTTTACGAGCTCCCTTCGCGATCGCCCTCGTTCACTTCGTCCTCCTGATGCGCCTCCTCCCCCCACCTCGTCCTCGCCCTCCCCATCCACTCCCTCCTCCCCGTCCTTCTCGTCCTCCCGTCCTCGTCTTCGCATGCCTCCTTCGCGCTTCTCCTCCTGCCCCTGTGGCTTCTGGTGCCGCTAATTGCTAGCCTGGTGCTCCTGCTCCCGCTCCTCTTCCTCCCTCTCCACCCTCCTTCCTGCTCCGCCTCTTTGCTCCAGGTGGCTGCACCGTGCCGGTGGTCGTCTGTGGGGTTCACTGCCACGCCTGGCGGTCTTCTGCTCCTCGAAGTTCTCTGACACGCTTCTGTGCAGAGGTGCGTCTCGAGGCCCTCTTCTGCGTCTCGAGGTGCGTTTTCCCGCCCTGAAGCTCCTCGTTTTTGCTCGTGCGCACGGCTGCTCAAGCTGGGCAGCGCGCGCTGCAGCGCAGCGCTTCACGCCGGCCCTCATGGAGTTGCCCCCGAACTGGACGATCGGGTGTTGCTAGAAGTACCCCTGGCCCAAGGTAACCCCGAGGACTCGGGGTGGCCCGGACGGCCTCCAGGGCATTCCTCACGAGGGCCCGAGGGCCCCAGGGGCTCCAGACTGGAGCGAAAAGCTGGGGGCACCTTTGGGGGCCGGGGGCACTTCTAGCAGCACCCGAGACGAGGCCAGTCAGGAGGGGAAAAAACACACAGACACAATTAATCCGCGATTCCCAGAAAATATGGGAAAATATGGGAAGTGGGGGGGAAGACAAACACCCAGAAAATATAGGAAAATATGGGGAACAGTTTTATTTGTGTATTTATTTGTGTGTCCCAGTTCCCCTTCAACCAGAGGAGGCTGCGGCCGATGCGGTGCAGTCCGGCACGCTCGTGACAGCCCGCCGTTCCCTGCCCGCGGCGATACGTCGTACCAGAGGACCGGCGCGACGCTCCGCAGCAGGCGCCGGGTGGGTAGCGATGTTCCGCGCAGTTGCCGCGCCTCTACAGTGAGCGGCTTGAGTAAGGAACACTTGCTTTTCAAAGGGGGTTCGGTCGTTCTTTAGGTTTGCATGCGTTATTTGTCGTTCCTCGTTCCTTCTGCGTTATTCCTTGGGGAACGGTGGCTTCGTTCCATATTTATCGTTCCGTAGGTCAGGCCGATGACTGTACCCGCCAGACGGCCTCGTTGTCCGCAAAACCAGCATGAGCATAAGCGTTCGGAGCTCCGCGCGGATGTGCTGGATCGGCGCTGGTGCCCTCCGGCGGCGCCTGCGGCGCCGCCCCTGGCGCGAGAGGGTTTAGCGCAGATCCGAGGAATCTGACTCGGCCCTCAAGTGCTGTTGTTTATGCGGTTGCTCCTTGTCCTCGGCCTACTCTTTGCGTGTCCCCGGCGCTGCCGAGCTCGGTGCACGCGGCGGCCTCCGCATCCGCGCTGTGCGCCCCTGCTGTGGAAACACGTGGCTGCCAAACCTCTGCAGCGTTCTCTGGCAGCTCCGATGCCGCCAGGCAGCACCTATGGCAGCCGTCCGCGTGCGGCCGCTCGACGGGCACGTGGCCCGCTACACCCCGTGGCGGGCGGCAGGCAATCCGCACCCCGGAAGAATCCCTACAGTCAGGCCAGCCACAAGTGGGGGAGCTGTGGTCCTTACCCCCCTGGGGGACCCATCGATTTCGACATCCCTCTCGAGAGATCGTCGAGGCGATGGGTTCCCCCAGGGGGGTAAGGACCACAGCTCCCCCAGTTATGGCTGGTCGGGCAGTGCATGGCGAACCATGGGAACACATGCCGCGTCAGTTCGCCATGAACCGCACTGGTCGGCGCTGGGCCCCCCCAGCGCCGCCCCTGGCGCGCTCACCGCGCCAGGAAGGGAGGGCTCAGCGCAGATCCCAGACATCCGCGCAGATCTCCGACAGCTTGTGTGTTGAAGCATGCAGTCGTAGTGCATCGAGGATCGAGCCTCGAGGATCGACCCTCGAGGATCGAGCCTCGAGGATCGACCGATTGCAATCCTTCGTTTTTTTTGCAATCCTTCGTTTTTTTGTGTTTTTTTTGCAATCCTTCGCTCGAGGATCGACACCCTTTGGGGGGATCCACGTCGGCCCTCGAGGGCCGAAGCTCCTGCGCGCCTCTGTGGGGTGTTGGCCCTCCCGGAGAGCCCTCGGCGCCACGGCCAGGCTCCCCTCGAGGACTGCGGGCGGGGCCCACGCTCCGGCCCCCGAAAACCGATGCGGCAACTCCTCCCTCCTCCTCCTCCTCCTCCTCCTCCTCCTCCTATCGCTATCGCTATCGGCTCGATGTCCTGTCGGACGCAGCCGTCCGCCTCCTCCTCCTCCTCCTCCTCCTCCCCCTCCTCCTCCTCCTCCTCCCCCTCCTCCTCCTAATCCTCCTCCTCCAAAGGAGGGGACACAAAAAGGATCCGGAGGGCAGCGGAGGGCGGAGTCTGCTCGCGCCGGTTTGGGGGCTCCCGGGGCCCTCCCAGGGCCTCGGGACCTCAGGACCGTCAAGGAAGGACTCAGGATGAATAGCCCTGGGGAGGAGGAGGAGGAGGAGGAGGAGGAGGAGGAGGCTTCCGAGGTCCAGGACCAGGTTCTCGGATGCTTCAGGCCAGCATCGTTTAAGATATCCCCGTTCCCCTTCGGCCCTGTGGTATCTTAGGCCCAGCGTCCCAACCTGGTGGGGGTTAGGTCAGACGGTGCCCGAAGGAACATGCATACATCCCCACCTGGGTGGGTAAATCGGCCAGTGAGGCCAAGGCCACGCCAGTTGGGACAGGGACCGGTTCAAGGATGCTCATCGGGACCCGCTTCTCTCCATGGCAAGTCAGGACGACCCAGCAGTGGCAGCAGGGACCCTCGCAGGACGACGACCCACAGCAAGACGACCACACATGAGCGACGAGCTCGTGAAGAAACTCCCACAACCACAATCCAGCAAGGGCATCAGGGATCCTACCACAGGACGACGACCCTGCAAGGAATGCGATCACACGGTCGGCGAGGCCGTGGAGGAAGATCCAGAGGAGCCGAGCGGCCGCAGCCCAGTGAGTTTATTTCAGGAGGGAAAGAAACACACAGACACAATTAATCCTCGATTCCCAGAAAATATGGGAAAATATGGGAAGTGGGGGGGAAGACAGAAACCCAGAAAATATGGGAAAATATGGGGAATATTTTTATTTGTGTGTATCTATTTGTGTGTTCTGGGGCCCCTTCATTATTGCATGCAAGCAGATCCCGATGCGACGGTCATCATGATGAGCAGCATTGTCCGTTTCGATCCGTCGATCCGACTTGACATCGATTTCGGCCGGCCTCCCCCGAGCCGATGCCGATATTCCGACGCTCCGGTGCGGCCCGATGCTCGCACGGCTGTGTTTTTGCACCCTGGCGTGGCCGTGCCGATTCGGTTTCGACTCCGTGTCGATGCAGCCCGATCCGACGCACATTCCGATTCGGTCCAGTTGCCTGATTCGATGCTGACTGACGGGGAAGGCGAGCAGTCGTGACACCCACCGTTTCTTCACCCACGCGACGGCGGTCAGCGCTAAGCTAATCTGGCAAAAGATCTAAGGATGCTGGCGAGTAACGGGACGGTTAGCCGCAGGCCATCGACTTGCGCCATGCCGATCAGCGAAACGTCCATCTTCTAGAAGAATTCTTGCGGGACCGCTATCCACCGGAAGACGAAGGCATGCTGTACCACGATTATCAGCGGTGTTTTCCAGTCGTAAAGGAACCGCAGGTGAATGCTTTTCGCGAGGCTCGACAGTGGTCAATTCGTGAACACGTCCATCAAGGCGGGATTCACTCAGAAGCATCAGGGAAATCATCAATAACAACACTTCCAGTGTCGCAGTTTAAGGTAAAGCGCTTGTCATACTTACATGTGACGCGCCATGTTTTTTAGAAGCTTATATTCCTAGCCGCCACAATGGTCAGCGTAACCATGGACTTCGCACTAGAGCGCGACAACCATTATGTAGGATGCTTCACCATGGCGTTCAGCGAATATTGCAGTGGCATGTTCCAATGACCTTGAGGGCGTATTGGATACGGAGCCCGTGACTAATCCGAATCGGACGAAAATGCAGGCTTGGATCATCATACCTGAGCGCGAGCACGATGCGCGTGACGTCCCGCGTGAAGCCACCTCATGACGGATGGTCAATTCCAGGGCATCCAACACCTTGACGTATTCAACACTTGCGACTCCAGCGCTGTAGATGATCTGTCGTACGGATCTCCTCGCTGTGAGCCCCCTGTGTCGGCTTTGGGGCATGTGAGTTGCGTGCCCCAGGGCCAGCTCTAACGGCGTCTAGTGGGTCGGCGCAATTTGTGTGACGTCGGCCCCAGTGGCGCGCGGCCTTGCGCTCTCGTCTGCAGGAGCGGCCAGGTGCCCCTGCATGGGCGCGCGCCAGGGCCGCCCCGAGGGCGGCGGCGCGGCCGCTGCAGTTCCCCCTTGCCTCCCGCCCCTCCCGTCCTCTCTCTGTCCCCGCCTTGCCACTGGACTCCTGCACGCCGGCCAAAAGTGTGACCCAGCGGGCTCCCAGAGGCCCGGGCCCGGAACGGATGCCCACCTTTGTGCCTTCGGGCCGCCGCAGGCCGAGTGTGGACCCGACGAGCAGCGAGCACGGGGCCGCCCGCAGGTGCGCGGAAGCGTGGCGAGAGCTCGCAGCCCCTGGGTTCGGGGGCCCGGCAGCTCTTCGGCCTCAACAGCTGCGCGCTTGCCCTGCCGGTCGCTGCGGCTGTCTTCTGCCTCCAATGGATCCTCCTGCCTCATTCTCTGCCTCCGTCCCTCCCTCCTTCCTGCAGCTTTCCTCCTTCCCTCGCCTCCCCCCCCCTCTCTCCGCTCCTCTTCCTCCCTCTACCCCCTCCCCTCCCTCGTCGCCCTCCTCCCGCCCTCTCACCTTCTTTTTTCCCCAGGCTTTCGCAGTTTTGCTGGCCGTTTTGACGCAGGGAGCCCTCTCTTCCTCCCCCCACCTCCGTGGTCGTCGCTCTCCTCTTGCCTCCGTCTTCGTCGGCCCTGCTTCCCACTGGATGGCCACTTCCGGATCGCCCGCATGACACCTTCCTCGAGGGAGTGGAAGGGGGGGAGGACGAAGGGAGGAGGAGGAGGAGGTGGAGGAGGATGTGGATGTCATCAATGTCATCAATGTCCTCTTTCCTCTTCGGCCGTGAATTGATCAAAGACTGCATGATCGTTGACCCTTCCCTTGCACACAGGAACAGTGCATGCTGGTCGTTGAATGTAGGTATTTTTGGATACACCGATCCCAGTCTACTTCATGCGCCTTGATATTTCGAACATCGACACGTTTTTGTTATGTTTTGCGTTATTCAATTTGACCCTCTGAGGGGGCAGACACCGCCGCCCCACTTTGTGTTGGAGCCCGGAGTTTCATTTTGGGGGGGTCCAGCACGGCCCCAGAGGGCCCGAGAAGACGCGGAGAAGAGCCCAAGAAGATCCCTAGAGCCCCAAGAGGGCATGAAAACGGGCGAGAATGGCACCCAAAGGTGTCGAAAACGGCGGAGGAAACCGAAGAGGGATACAGAGTGGCAGAAAGAAGCATCGCCACTTAGTTCTGGGGCCTCAGAAGGGCTTCCAGGGACCCTCTGGGTGCGACCAAGACGGCCCACGACAGTGAAAAACATGGACGAACACAATCAAAATCACTGAAATTTGTTTCTGTGGGCCCTCTTGGGAGACCTCTTGGAGCACTATTGGTGCTTCTTTGGGGCCTCTTCGGCTGTCTTGGAGGCATTTCGGCCATCTTGGCGGCTTTGGTCCGTCTTGGAAGCCATCATGGGCATCTGGGACGCATCTTGAGCGCATTGAATGGCGCCTGGAACCCATTCCACCGTTGTACGTGTGTTGTGGGTCAGAATCGTCAGGGATGCTCGTGGCAAGCGAGAAGGAAGAGGAGGAGGAGGAGGAGGAGGAGGAGGAGGAGGAGGAGGAGGAGGAGGAGGAGGAGGAGGAATGAGGACGAGGAGGAGGAGGAGGAGAAGGAGGAAGAGGAGGAGTAGGAGCTTCTTGGGGCATTTTGGGGTCAAACATGATCGTGGACAAGACGCCTGTTTGGGAGGCTGCTTGGGGTCTCTTGGGAGGCCTCTCTGGGTCCTATTGGCGGTATCTTGGGGACCTCTTGGGTCCTCTTGGGGGCCTCTTGGGGCCTCTTGCGAGCCTCCTAGGGGGCTTCTTGGGGCCTTCTGGGGTTCTCTCGGGGCCGAGAGCTGGAATGTCTGTTCGGGTGCCTCGTCAGGGCCCGCTCTTGGAGCTCTTTTGGGGGCCTCTTGGGCCGTCTTGGAGGACTCTTAGGCTGTCTTCGGGCCCTCCGGGGCCGTTTTGGGGCGCTCTTGGAGGCGTCTTGGACCGTATTGGGACGATCTTGGGGGCCTCTGGGGCAGTGTTGGAGCGCGGGTAAGACGAAGAGGCGAGAACGCCTAAATCTTTAAACAACTATAGGACATCCATTACTTTTTACTTCTGGGGGCCCTCTTGGGTCTTGGGAGAGCTCTTGGTGGCCTCTTGGGGAATCTGAAGGCGACACTGGGTGTCTTGGGCCGATAATTCGACGGACGACCAGGAGCCCTCTTGGACCGTCTTGGGGGCCTTTTGGGGCCCTCTTGGAGCGCTCTGGAGGGCCTGAAGGGCGGCGCCCAGAAGGGAAACCATCTCTGACCCGAACCGGCCAGGGTACTTTTCGTCCGGAACCCCAGGGGCCGCCCCCCTGCGCGCGAAGTAGAAATATTGCAAAGCAGTTGCTGGAGATCTCAGCACGCCTCTTGCCCGTTGGGCCAGCGAATTCTCTGGGCGGGCCCGAACCCAATCTACTCTACCCGCCCTCCTACTTCATGTTTCCACGTTCCTCCGACTGGCTGGTGCAGTCAATCTGCCCCTCCAGGCGAAGTGATTGCCAAGGCCTCACGGCCGGTGCCGCCGGCCCGAAAGCCGGGACCTCCCCCCGGGCCACCCGCTGGCGACCCCGCACTCGGGACCTGCGGGGGCCCCGCGGGGGCGGCATTCCGACCCAGGACCCCCCCGCCCCATCCCCCGCCCGGCAGGGAAGGGGAGAAGGCAGGGGACTTGTCTTCGGCTTCACAATGCGATCAGTTGTTCCTTCTTTCTCAATTTCCTGGGGATTGGCGACAGCGACGACGACTCAAACGGAGAAGCGTCTCTCACACGCCGAAGCGTCGGCGGATTGATTCATTGCTGTACTGAACGGCGAAGGCCTGCAGTTTTGTTAGCAGTGCCGTCTGTCGTCTGTGCGCAAGGATGGCCGATGAGCTTCAACCGCGGTCCTTTCTTCGATCCTATTCATTGACTCTGCCAGGACAAGTCTGCTGGACGACAAAAGAGATACAGCATCGACTTTTATTGGTGTGATGATGGTCAGGTGCCAATTTCGTTCTCGATGGCCTGCTTTCTCCCTCTCGCGCGAGTGATGCAAGTGATCGTGGTCATGCTTGCAGGTCTCAGAGCGTGAATTACCTACCCCGCTTTCGCTTCCAGGCAAAACCAAGCCATACCACGCGCCTCCTCGTCAAGCGGCCTGACCAGTACAGGCTGCAATTTGGCATCGTTTGGTATCTGTTGGAAGCGAGGGTGGTCAAAAGCGGGGTAGGTTTGTTTTCCCCCTAAGGTCGGCTGCACTCGAACGACTGCGCTTGAGTTGTGCCCTGGCGCGCCTGTCCTCGTTGCCAGCGATCGCGCGGCTGCCGATCACGATGATTGAACGGGTCCCCGCTGGCACCACCGTCGGTGGCCGTTTGCTTTCCCATTTGTGTGTGTGTGTGTGTGTTTTGCGGCCCTCCTCGCCTCTCCTCTTGCAGCCCCCCGCAGGGGGAGGAGGAGGAGGAGGAGGAGGAGGAGGAGGAGGAGGAGGAGGAGGAGGAGGAGGAGAATGAGGAGGAGGGAGGAGGAGGGAGGAGGAGGAGGAGGAGGGGAGAGGAGGAGGAGGGAGGGGGGGAGGAGAGAGGAGGGAGAAGGAGGAGGAGAGGAGAGGAGGTGGAGGGGGAGGAGGAGGACGAGGACGAGGAGGAGAAGGAGGAGGAGAAGGAGTAGGAGGAGGAGGAGGAGGAGGAGTCTCCCCCGGCTCCCTTCTGCTGGCCCCCCCTCGGACCGCTGCGGCGCTGCCCCCTCGCCCTGGCCGGCGGGCCCCCTCGCCCTCCCGGCGCAACCGCGCGGTGCCGCTCTCCGCCACGCACGCCGCGGCTGATGCCTCGGCTCGGGAGGGGAACAAAGCACACAGACACAATCATCAGAGGCCTGGAGGTTGACACCAACACCAAGATCGGTGGTGTGCCTCCACCGAGGCAAGACGATCCCGATGTCGGTGATGGTGGTAATATTCTGGCTTCCAAGGTGACCGAAATATTACCACCAACACCGAAATCTAGGATCATCTTCCCCATGTGGAGGCAACCCGCCTGTGTTGGTGTTGGTGCCCATTTCCAGGCCTCCAAAATCAATCGTCGATTCCCCAGAAAATATGGGAAACTTGGGAAGTAGGGGGGAAGACAGACACCCAGGGACTATGGGAAACTGTTGGGGATCTGGTCATTCGTGTTTATTGATTTGTGTGTCCCAGTTCCCCTTCATCGGCGCCGGCTCTCGCTGGGCCTCGCGTGCGCCGGGGGTGTCTCCCCTCGCGGGGCGCCTCTGCGGCCCGGTGCTGCGCTTCGTCCTTCCGCAGCTGCGCTGCGCACGGCCCCTGCCCTCGCCTCGCCCCGTGGCGTCCCGTCTCCCCGTCCTTCGCCCTCGCGTCTGCCCCCCGCGAGTGACCCGTTGATCCCCCATGGGCGGATCCTGGATCCCCACGCCGCATGATCTGGGCCAGCCGCGCGCGTCTCTTCGCCCGACTTTGTACGCCGCGCCGCCGCGCGCGTGGCCGCGACGCCAATACATGTATATATACACACATATATAGTCATCTGCCGAACATTTATATATATATATATAGATACCACATAGACCACCCTTCGGGTGATAAGGAGGTGAGGGGGGGGGGAGGGACCACCGTCGCACTCGATTGATCTCACTATCGAACTCACTACCGATCTCACAATCGATCTCAATCGATAGATCTCACAATCGATCTGACTATCGATCTCACAATCAATCTCACAATCGATCCCACAATCGATCTCACATTCGGTCTCGCTATTGATCTCACAATCGATATCACAATCGATCTCGCATTCGATCTGACTATCGATCTCACTATCAAACTCACTATCGATCTCATTATCGATCTCACATTCGGTCTCACTATCGATCTCACTATCGATATCACAATCGATCTCACAATCGATCTCGCATTCGGCCTCACTATCGATCTCTCTATCGAACTCACTTTCGATCTCATTATCGATCTCACTATCGATCTCACTATCGATATCACAACCGAACTCACAATCGATCTCACATTCGGTCTCATCATCGATCTCACTATCGAAATCACTACCGATCTCATTACCGATAGTGATCTCACTACTAACTCAATCGATCGATCTCACAATCGATCTGACTATCGATCTCACAATAGATTCCACACTCGATCTCACATTCGGTCTCACTATCGATCTCACTATCGATATCACAATCGATCTCACAATTGATATCCCATTCGGTCTCACAATCGATCTCACTATCGATCTCATTATCGATCTCATTATCGATCTCACATTCGGTATCACAATCGATCTCACAAGCGATCTGACATTCGATCTCACGTTCGATCTCACAATCGATATCACTACCGATCTCACTATCGATCATCAAAACAAAACATCAACATCGTCATCATCATCACCATCATCATCATCATCAATATCATCACCATAATCGGGACACCGACGGGACACCCGCGGGACACCGCGGGCCCCCGGCCGCCCGGAAGGGAGTCATTTGGTCCGGCCGCGCCTCAGCCACACGGGACACCAGCGGGACACCGGCGGGACACCGCGCGGGCCCCCGGCCGCCCGGAAGGGAGTCATTTGGTCGGGCCGCGCCTCAGCCACAGGAGACTTTCTCTCGCCCGCCCACACAGCTTCGCCTCGCCCGCACGGCACGCACGAACACGAAACCGAAATCGATTTCCTGGTATGGGGGCTCTCCGTTCCACTTCGATCTCACCCCCTCACCTCCGATATAGGTATCAAAACATCGATATTTCTATCTGTACACACACATATATATATATATATAATCTAGAACCATCGCGCGCTTCGTGCGCGCTCAAGTTCTAGCTTGGCTTGATTTGGCCGCTTCTTGCGTCCAGGGACTCCCTTGGAGGCCCTGCGCAAGCCTCGTAATGGTATAGAAGGGGAAGTGCGGAAACGCAGAAATCATTACATTCTTTTTTAGATATTCAACGATTTGGGGCTGGGCCCTCAAAGGCTTCCTGAGTTTTTTTTTGGAGGTGAGGGGGGTCTGAATTGTGGTCTGTTGTGCAAGAGTAGACTGGGGGCCAAACTTGGAAGCACAAATAATTGTGGGATTCCCATATTTTTCCAGTTCCTCGGCGCTGTTCGGCTTTTTTTTGTGCCTGGCGGGATTTGTTAGCCGGGCCCCTCAGGGGTGTGGCATCTTCCAGACCCCCTGGGGGTTCTGGAGGCCTCCTGGAGGCCTGGAGAGCCGTCGGAAGAGTGTCTCGGGCTGCGCGGGAGCGTGTTGGGCCGTTCTTTACGTTCTGGGGGCTCCTTGGGGTCGTCTTGGGCTGTCCTTGGGCGTCTTCGGGCCCCCCTGGGAAGCCGGGAGGCGCGGTACCGGCCAGATGTCAGGGGATGTGGGATCTCCGAGTAGGAGTCCATTTTGACAAAAAGGGGGGGGGGGGGCGGTACTGGGCGCCTCTTCGGCAATTTTGGAGGTTTCTTGGTCGGTCTTGGACCCGTCCTGGGAGTCTTTTGGACGGTCTTGGGGCGTTCTTGGACCGTTGGAAGCTCGAAAACGCGAGAAGGCCAAACACATAAGAAAAAACAATCAGCATCGACGATTTTGGCCTCTTCGGGCTTTCCCTGGACGCCCCTCGGACCTCTCTTGGGGCCTTTTGGAGGCCTCCTGGGAGCGTGGAGAGCCGTCCACAGGGTGTTTCGGACTGCTTGGGAGCGTCTTAGGCCGTTCTTTACGTTCTGGGAGCTTCTTGGGATCGTCATGGGCTGTCCTTCGGCGTCTTGGGGTCTCCCCAAAAGTTGGAAGGCGCGGTACCGGCCAGATGTCAGGGGATGTGTGGGACCCCCGAGTAGGAGTACGAGTAGGGAAAAAAATATGGGGGATTCTTGTAATTCCCGTTTTTTCGAATCGTCGATCTTGGAGGGTTGGACGCGGGAAAACGTGAGAAGGCGAAAAACATAGGAAAAACAGTTGGAAATCAACGATTCTACCCTCTTTGGGCTCTCTCGGGACGGCCCTCGCAGCTCTCTTGGGCTGTTCTTGGAGCCTCGTCGGGGTCCTTTTGGGGCCTCTCAGGGATCGGGGGTGTGTTGGGGGCTTCTGGGTGGTCCAGGAGGCCTCTCGGAGGTCTCTGGAAGCCTCCTGCTCCCGCTCTTGGGCCCATCTTGGGCCTGTCCTGAGGTGGTCTGGGGCTGTTTTGGGCGCCTCTTCGGCAGTCTTGGAGCCTTCTTGGCCCGTCTTGGGGCCTTCCTGAGGATCTCTTGGGTGGTCTTGGGGCGGTCTTGGGAGTCTCTTCGGCGCTCTTGGACCGTTGGAAGCTCGCAAGAAGCCAAAAACGATCAAAAAACAAATGAACATCGACGATTGTGGCCTCTTCGGGCCGTCCCGTGACGCCTCTCGGACCTCTCTTGGGGTCTCTTGAAGGCCAACTGGGAGCCTCGAGAGCCGTCGGAAGGCTGATTTGGGCTGCTTGGGAGCGTCTTGGGCCATCCTTTAGCATTCTGGGGGCTCTGGGGGGGCGTCTTGGGCCCTCCTGGAGCGCTGTGGAGGCTCCCTGGAAAGGCCGGGGGAGCGGTACCGGGAGCGTTCCCGAGATGTGGCGGAGAGGTTAATCCAGGGGGCACAGGAGGCTTGCAGGGTGTTTTTCGGAACCAGTTCCGATCCCTCTTGGGAGCTGTTTTGGCTTCTCTTGGGGCCTTGTTGGGGCCTCTTGGAGAGCTGGGGCCTGTTTGGGGCCTCTGTGGGTGTCCTTGGTGCCTCTCGGGGTTCGTTTTGGAGCCCCCTTGGGCCGTCTTGGGCGCCTTTTGGTCTGGTCTGGGGCCCTCTTAGGCCGTCGTCGGGGCCTTTTGAGTGCCTCTTGGGGCGATCTGGGGGGCGTCTTGGGCCGTCTTGGAGCGTCGGAAAGGCGAGAAGTTGTACATGCTGAACATGTATGTTCTAGAAAGGGAAAGTTGCGAGTTTGGCATCTTGGGGCTCCCTTGGAAGGCCTCCTAGGGTGTCTTGGGGCGACAAGGGGGCCTCTGAGACTGTGGCCTACCTTGGGGCTCTCTGGAAGCCATCAGGAGCCGCCTTGGGCCCTCCAGGCGCGCTCGTGAACCAGCGGTCCCCAGCGGGATCAAGGTCTGGCCAGATCACTTGTCAATGCATACAGGTATTCATCGTATTATTACAGTTCAACACATATTTATCTAGGTATCCATGTCTCTCTCTCTCTATATATATATATGTAAAACAACACGTGTTTCCGTTTACGTGCGTATATTTGTGCATGTATATACATGTATACACTTATATTGCATATGCACATATATATTTATATCGAGATATAGGTATGTCTGCCTGTATGCCTGTCAGTC